TCCCATATTAATTATCTATTGATACACCAAAAATTACCACAAAATTTAGCAACTTAAAAAAAATGTATAGTCTCACATAGCTTTGAGGGCCAGGAATTCAGAGGTAGACCTGTATCTCCTGGATTGCCGTCACCTTAAGTGGTTGAGACTGCCTCCAAGCTCATTCATGAGACCATTGTGGAAATTGTAACCATGTGGGGCTTTCCAAAAGGCTGTTTGCACAATGTGGCACCTTGGGTCTCCAGAGTGATTGATGAGAGAGAAAAACTGGGAAGGACGAAAGAGAGACAGAGACAGACACTGGGGAGGAAGAATGACAAAAATGGAAGTCATGGATGTAATTTATGATTTAACTTTGAAAGTCATATTCCAACATGGTACAACCCTGATGTAATAAGTGTAGTGCTCAGTGAGGACATCCCTGAGACTTTAGCTTTTCCACAAGGAAACCAGCTGTGTGTATAATTTTAGAGGGTTCAGAATTAAGAAAAGCATTCTAGCCTATCTATTTACCAAGTACTAGAGAAATTTCTATTAATCAAAGATTAGCAACTTTTTGAATTTTAATTCTAGTCTTGGATTTCAATAAGTCAAATTTAAAAATCTCTTCAAAATCTGTTCGTCAGTCATTTAATTTATATAAAGTTTCAAGATGTATATAGTATATGTTACAGTCAAATTATTTTCAAAAGGTATATAGAAGCAGAAGAATTGAATGTACTTGGAGATCTGGAGAAGGCTTCATAGAGGATTTGACAAAGTATTTTTTTAAGATTTAATAAAATTTTGTAAAAATGACAGAGACAAATTAAATGATATATAATCTGAAAAAATTCTGAGTTTCAGCAAGTTTCCAAAGACAACATAGAAAATGATACTAATGTTATGTAGCTCAAACACTAAGGAAAACTATAGTTTGTTGTAATATGCAAACAGGCAAAGTAAGGGAATGAGAAATTCAAAATTCAGGTTTATGATTACCTCTGGAGTGAGTGGGGAGACCCAAAGATATACCATAAGAGGAAAAATATAAGGTAGATTTAGTGGTGCTGATGATCCTATATTTGAGATATTTGAGTAGGCTTATAGGATTGTAAATGCTAGGATTCTAACAATTTTTATGTATGGAATACGTCATAGTCGCTCTTTAACATTCAATGTATGTCAGCAGAGGGAAATAGCATATGAAATTGCATAGAGGGTGAAGGAGTTTAAAATAAAATACAGACATAATTATGACAAGGAAATGATAAATAATGCATTATCTTTCATAATACACCATTCAGTATTCTGCAATGTTATTGAAGAATACAAAAGAAAGGAGATTAGAGATGGAACTGAAAGCCACTGACACAAAACTCAAAATCTTGCAAAAGAAGCAAATCCTATTTCTGTACTAAGAACTGAGAGGCTGATTTCCCCTTTGTTGCCTGTGTGTTGATAAGATCAAGGCATATTGCAGTTGAGAACCTCGAATAATGTGAATTAATGATAAGTTGCAGGAGCAGTTATTATTTTCAGCATTGGAAAAGAGGTCTAGTGCATTTTAATTGTCTAAGACCCATCATGTGCCAACAACTTTTGTTCTTAGTGGAATTCAAATCACAGGGTGGTGCTGTATTTAACAACTTACCCTTTTAAACTATTGTGAAGCTGCAAGTAATGTTTAATTACATTATTGCCAGTCATCTGAAGAATGGTAATTACTTGGAGCCCTTGGCCAGACTTTCTGATTAAAAGTCCTGCGGCTTGCTCAACAGGTCGTAAGTTCATATCCTGATCCTGTTAAATTTCTTCTAAAGCAGCTTTATTCTTTGGACAAGGAATAGCTCCGCCCTTGGAAATGGTGCTTAGGAAAATCTTGAATGATCTGATGACAGAAACATAAAATGAAATTATTTTGGCTGTTGTGACCTATTTGCTCTTAAATATTCTGTTTTATTTTGTCTTCTTATATTCCTCTTTGTAACCAAAAAAAGAAAAAGAAAAGAAATTTTGACTAAGAGAATATTTCCCTGTGAGATTTGAAATGGTTTTAATAATTCTGCTAGACTACTAGCCAAAAGTGTAGTGGATTTCTGAAAGCAGTATTTCTCTACCTAAATGTGAGAGGATTGACTCCTTCATGTTTATATAGGAACAGGGATACTGGTAGTTTTCCAGTGAAGGAGACCTGATCCACAAGGAGCAAGCTGCTCAAGGTTGGATTTTTTCCTTTTAAAGGATAAAAACAAAACAATCTTCCTAAGGCCACTCTGGGACTTTCTGACCAAGAAGTTGTATCTGTTTTGCGAAATGAAGGCACATAAAGTCTAAAGCTCCATTCTGAGCCAGCACTATCTTCCTGCTGAAGCCACATGTGACCAGACGTTCATGTATACCTCAATGCCACCTTTTGGGTTTTCTGCTCATGGTTTGACTGCCATGATTCTTACTGGTCCTTTGCCACTTGATAGATCTATGTTTTGCCAATAGACCTACTCTTGGTTTCCTTTCACTATCAGCCCATCAGTAGTACATTCCAGTGAAAATGTACCTATATTCTCCAGGTGTAGGCATTCTCAGAGCTTTCCTACCACTTCTACCACTATCCTTTATCAATTTATTATTTTGGGAAGGTAATTAAATTCACTGACACCAAATTAGTATCTTAAATGTGTCTTAATTTGAAATCACAAAGTTATTTATTTTAGCGCTGAGGTTAGAGCTTCTCTATCTAAATGTGACCGTAGTGTTTTTTCAGCCCTGTGAGAGGAAGACAATATTATGAGAGACGCAATCTTTAGAAGTCTTCTCCCAAAATTGCATACTTGGAAATACACTCATCGTGTAGTTTGCATCTCTCCATGAATAACTAACTCTCTCCTCCTTTCTCATTTTATTCCTGCTTCTTTGACTAGACTATCTCCAATAGCCACAGTCCCTCAGTTTTCCATTCAAAGTGGCATCTATTTTTAAAGTCACAAATGTTGAGGACTCTAGTTCCATTGTCTGTCACTAATTGTTCAAAAAATGAAAGCAAGTACTTGGGTTTACAGGTAGTAAAAAGAAGATGTGGGACAGATGAGATCACTTGGGACCACAAAATATGTTTGATTTCATTAACTGTTGCTGAGGAGAATAAGGAAATAAAGATTGAGAGAAGGATGATGAGGTCAGACCATACAAAATCAAAGACACATGACTTCAGGGATACTGGAAATCAGGAAAGTTCTTCTTACGGTTTCCTCTATCTCAGTGAATGACATTTTTATTCTTCCAGTTGCTTGGACCAAATACTTAGTATTATCTTTGATCTTCCTCTTTTCCTTTCTGTGCATCCTGTTCCTTATGAAACCCTGTGACTCTCCCTTCAGTGTTCCAAGAATCTTATCAGTTCGTCTACCTACACTACTCGCACTTTGGGACAGACAACAGCATTTTGCCTGAACTAGCTCATTTATTTAAGATCTTGAATCGCCGCCCCCCCAGCCACCTGCAGTTGCTCCTCAAGAGTAATTGCCAGAGTGCTCTTGTTAAGATGAGAATCAGATTATGACTCTTTTCTCCCAAAAACTTTGTTTCCTACTTCAGTTAGACTAGATGCCAAAACCATTACTGCTATCTAAAATGACATCCATACTCTAACCCTCATTTCCTTAGACCTCATCATTTCCTTGTTGTTTTTTCTCTTCATTCCTTATACTATAGACTTTGCTTTTTTATCTTGTTTCTTTTCAGTCTCCCCACTACAGTGTAAATGCTGTGAAGGTAGGGTTTTTATTTTGTTTTGTTTTTTGATCTATCTTGCTAATTATTGTATTGTTAGAGCCTAGATAAATGCTTAACACACAGTAGCATGCAATAAACCATTATAGAATTAATGAATCTTTTAAGGAATAAAATAGTTTTCACAAGTCTATGTTATATTATCTATTGAGTATGCTAAAGCTGTTTGATTCACTGGAATCAAATTCCACTGGAATCAATTCACTAGGAATTGAAAGCATGAACTTTAGAATCAGACTGAGAGAAGTTTGAGTTCAGTGCCTAACCATGTGACTTTGCAAAATTTACATAATATCTTCAGGCCAGGATTTCTCACTTTAAAATGGAGATAGTATTTAAATGACTGACTCACAATATTGTTGCAAGAATTAAATAAGAAAATTCAGGTAAAATGTTCAAAATGCCCACAACAGAGTAAGTAAGCATTCAGTAGAGGTGGTTAATATTTTGTTATTGTATTATATTTTCCATTAAATCACACTAAGAATCTCTGCAGAATTTGCACTAAATAGATTTTATAGTGTAAGTTTTCTATCAGTAGGAATTTTCACTGAGTGACAGCAGCTCCAAAACGAATATATTTTGTTCACATTACCTATGCATTGGTTAAAATCAGTAGTTTTAGAATTCCAGTTAGTATGATTGCTAGTCAGTGGCTTTTATTTTATTGCACTGTATTCCTATATCCTTCCTTGCCTAGTAAACATTAAAACCTTAGTCTAGGAGTCATTATAACTTGACTTCTAATTGCTACTTGGTAAATACAAAGATCTGCTGTTCTTGACATGCACATCCTCTGTGCCTTCGTTTACTGATCTGTAAAAGTAAGAATTGTATCTGCCCATGTTTTTTTTTTACTGATCTCTTAGAATTATGTTCAATGTGAAGGCTATAAAGTAAGAATAGATGTAATTGTGTACTTTAAAATTGGAAGGATATTTTAACAATAGTAGTATTAGTTTCTGATATTGTTGCTTTTTCTTCAACTTTTATTCCATTCCTCCTTCTAAGCTTCAGTGACTTCATTAGCATCACCTCTGCCCCACCCCCATTTTAAAGAAGGATATTGGCATTTTGCCAATTGGAAAGCTAATAATACAATCATACTGACATTTGAAGCAGAGTTTCTCTTATTTTCCTTGGATGATATTTTGACACACTAAATTGTCCTTTTCAATTTGGTGCTTGAATATTATTTACAGTAACTTGAACTTCTGGTCTCGTTTGCACAGGAAATGACTTATTTCTTGTAGCAGTTCATGAGCTGGGACATGCTCTGGGATTGGAGCATTCCAATGACCCCACTGCTATCATGGCTCCATTTTATCAGTACATGGAAACAGACAACTTCAAACTTCCTAATGATGATTTGCAAGGCATCCAGAAGATATATGGTAGGTTTCCACTGTTTCTGTTTGGTTAATCCCACATTGAAGTCCAGAATTCCTGCTGTGTTTCTTCTTTGGGATAGATGCTATCAGTGTACATGACAGAGGAAAAACTGAAGAAAAAATTATCTGGCCTGCTGGCAAAATTCTTCTGTCAATTGAATTTTGTTGGCAACAATCCCAGGTATCTTAATGTATATATGGGAATGTCTTAAATACTGATGAAGTTTTCTAATTGAGTTTAATTGAAATTTCCAGTTATTCTACAGCTCTATTAAACTTTCACTTTTGAAATTCAGGTAAAAAATATAATAAATGAAAGTAAAAAATAAAACAGTGAGAAATGCAAGAGTTTCTCATAAAATGATGAGACTCTGGTGTATAGACTCACAGATTGGCTCAGAGTTTCTGACATTTGATGTTAGATATTCCCATTTTCTATACTTTCAAAGGTCCAGACAATACCCTTATGCAATGGATATAACAAATTGTACTCAAAGGCATAGTAATTACTGAGTTAATGAAAATTAGCAGCAAGGGAATGGAAGTTAACAAATGGCTACATTTGTTAACACATTTCACAAAATAATTTTTTAATATTGTAATATTGTTATTTATAGAATTCAGTCAGTAAATGCAAATCAAGAAGAAAAAAGGGGGGAGTGTCATGCATATGTACTTTAATCTTAACTCCCTTGATACAACCATTGACCTTTACAAAGACATTTCTTTCACACATAATTGTTAAGACCTTGACATTTGTAATTTACCTATAGCAGGTTTGCTTTACAAAGTTAATGAAGTGAAGCTTTCATTTTTATAATGCGAAGACAAATGTGATCTATCTGCATGTTAATATCCACTATCCAGAAGATGTTATCTGCATTTTTAAATGATGTAGTTTAGGTTCACTAATTTGTTTTGCATTCATTAGTTTTTTCAATTGTAGTATCTCAGTCAGTCCTAAGCATTCTCTCAGTGCTGAAATAGATTTGAAAAAAAATAATAAAGGTCAACTTTAGGGCTTGTCTTTGTTTTGTTGGGATACTGAGAAAAGAGACATGTCTCAGACTCAAAGCTAAATAGCTCAGACATTGAATAAAGCTCTCCTATGTCTAAGTGTGTGTCATCAGAAATTCCTCTTATGTGGTTAACTGAAAGAAGTCTCTTTCTCATGACCTCATGAATTAGAAGTCTAGACTGAAAGTCTGAAAAAGAATATCCTCCTCCTATCTAAATTAAGTGTAAACAGCTCTGTATTTCTTTTTGGAAAAAAAAATACATCCTGTAAAGAATCGTGCGTATCATCTGTACCAAATTACATGTGTGAATGTTGGCTTGATGGAGAAGCCTCTCTTTAGAAATACTTCTTCATATTAATATTTTACTGGTGGTATTTTAATTAATAGATGTTTTAGATTCAATATTTAAATGAAACTATCATCCAGCAATTTGTCAAAATGTTTCATTAGAACAAAGCAGTGAAATCAGGAAAAGATTATAAAATATAGTCGAAACTTATGGCAGCATAACCTTTGATTAGTTAATGTTTATCTTTTGGAAATATTTGCATAGAATCATTGTCTGTCAAAATCCAGGATTAACCTGAATGGAGCTTACATGCATGACTTCAGTACTCATTTTCATTTTTTTCTATTTATACACTACCTACTTCCAAAAAAAAGTTTTAAGAGCACCTTTCCAATAAGGACTCTGGTGAAGCTTTAAAAAAAAATCATTAAAAATTAACAAACAAAGCCTAATTATTTGGATCCAGAATCTAATATGATAAGAACAGTTTCAGATAGTTGTGGCAATGGTTTGATGGGTAAGATGGTTTGTTTTTTCAGAAAATGTATGATCTACCGCTTAGCTTGCTTAGTCTGTGCCCAGTGCTGATAAGTGATTGTTCTCTGTAGCATATTTTCCGTCACCATTCCAGTTTTAAGTGAGCCAAGCACTGTCCTCATATTTTCAAAAGGTCCACCTGACAAGATTCTTCCACCTACAAGACCTCTGCCAACAGTACCCCCACACCGCTCTGTTCCTCCTGCTGACCCGAGGAAAAATGACAGGCCAAAACCTCCTCGGCCTCCCACGGGCAGACCTTCCTATCCTGGAGCCAAACCCAACATCTGTGATGGGAACTTTAACACTCTAGCTATTCTTCGCCGTGAGATGTTTGTTTTCAAGGTAGGAGGCTGTGATTTTTTTTTTTTTTTAACAGTTGATCAAGTGTCTAGCGTCGCTTTAGAAAATATATTCTCATTCATTGTAACACCACCAGGCCTCTCACTCACAGTTAGGAGGTTCAAAAAAAGCATCCCAAAAAATGAATGCACAAATGGGCTTAAATGTCTAGCAGAAGATTGCTGTAACATTCTATTTTGGAAATGCATTTATGTCAGCAGAAGCTAAAATGCCTAGAAATGTGAGGGTGAAAAAATGCTGCATGTTATGAAGAGATAAAATAGCATAATTTAAATCATGAATAGGAACTAATAAGGATGATGTGTTTGGGAGCTTAGCCACATTCAGGCTCACTGCAGACATTGCATCTTTGATTTACATATTTTTATAAGATCCTTATAATTTTATTTGACAATTACTGCATTGTGTTCTAGGAATAGTATTGGTCATTTTGTTTGGAATTCACTGGTAGCCATTTGAGTTAAATCTCCTCTATGAAAATATCATTTTGACTGTAAATATACAAATTTTCTTTAGTCAGGCATTTATAGCTACCTAATTTATATTGTTTTTTATAAAACATTACAAGCTAAAATTAAATTTACATTTTTAAAAATGTTCCTTTCAATGTCATGGGATTCTCACACAATAACAGTAATGAAAAGTGTAACAAAAGTAAATTATAGAGTATTAAAATGTGAATATCCTGTAATACTGAAAAATAATTTTCTCCCCCAATATTTGTAAAGTTTCATGAAGGATATAAATGGATACATTGGCATGAGAATATTAAAATAAGCACATTTTACCATTTAAAAGTAAAGTAATGTGCTGTATTTTTAGTGGACATGAATCAATACATAGTGAAATATTGCCCTACTTATACAGAATTTCTTATCTACCAAGGGTATACTTTAAAAATATAGATTTCATATAACTTTTAGAAAACAAAGAATTCCATTTCCATTATTGAAAAATAAAATCTGTATTTGACATTATATGTGTAACACTATCATGCTTTTCAGAAAAAAATCAATGCATTTCTTCAAACACGTGAATAATAGCTTTTTGAATTCTGTAAATACCCTGCAATGCTTAAGTAGATGTCACCACTTCATTTCAAGTAGGACAACAAATTTAGATTAAAAGAGTAAAGAAAAAGCTTACTTTAAAATATATATATACTTACATATATGTGTGTATATACATGTATATATGTGTGTATGTACATATATGTTTGTGTATATATGTGCGTGTGTGTATGCATGTGTATGTCTGTGCATATGTATGTATCCACCATTACTTATGACTGATGAGTTCCATGGTTATACATGGTAATCCACTATTACTTATAGTGGCTTTGTGGCTAAGCTAGAACAACTGTTGAAATGAATACAAAATGTGATAATTTGTTTACTTTACAAGACACCAATATTTTGTGTTTACTGCTTTAGCTAAAATTCCACATTGCAGCTTAATAACTTGATATCATGGTGAAATTGCCAAAGTCAACGTTATCTAAAGATATGGTGTGAAATTGGCTCTGGAGGTATTTCTTTTCATTTTTCCTATCTGTCTAAATAGACTGCTGGTCTCTGAGATTGTTATCTACATATCTAGCCATCAGTTTCACCTGCCTCTGCACAGCACATTGTAGGTACTTCCTATGTGCTGATGACTGACAAAATGAGAATCCTATGATGCTGCGTCCTGGAATCAGGAATACATGGAAAAGCTTGTAGATAAAACTCTCAAGTACACAGTAATAGCCACTATTTTCAATATCAAAACTGATGTATGACATTTATAACTAAGACCTCTTGTTTCATGGATTCCTTAACCAAAACTCCATAAAGGGTAAAAATTCCTAAAATCTGATTTTTTTCAGTATCCCCTGCTCTTTCTAAGATTAATTTATGTTTTATGTAACATTGTCTAATAGGCATTGTATTCTTCTTAATCACCATTTGTCATGTTACACAGCTTCACAATTTTGTATTTACCACTTTTGTCATATAACAAGTATGCATGCACACCTAGGGTAGTTTATTAGGTACTGAGAATATGTGAATAGAACCTAAATCCCTGTCTGTAGAGAGCACATATTTCTGAAATAAAGACAAACATGCTCATAAATATTTTTAATACACAATATAGAAATTATAATATTGAAACTAAGAGAAAGAGCTGAGATCTAATCAAACAAGAAGTTTTACTTAGATGGAGCTTGTGAATAATTTTGAGAGCAGAATGGTCTAGAGACATTTAAGAAATCAATAATACAGCAAAAATTTCTATATTGAGGGACAGAAGATAGGCATGATATTATCTACTGAGCAGTGCTAAGAACTAAAATTCAGACATGGGCAACACTGGGTGGAAGTAAAGGGAGCATGATTGTCTCCCTGCTCTTGGTGAGGTTTTTGTTATTGTTGCTGTTGCATCTTTTGTTGTTCTGTTTGATTTTTGTGATACAAATGCTCAGCAACAGCCTAGCCCTTTTGTTTGCATTTTGCTTTTGAGATAGGTTCTCACTGCTTATGGCTTGCACTATTCTCAAGTCTCCTAATTGGCTGGGGTCATAGATGTGCACCACCACATACAGACTATGTGCTCTAGTTAACTACTGTAATGAATTGGGTAGCTACTGCATGACAGAATGAATGTTAGACATGCCTTCATAATCTCTGAACCCCATAATGGCACTCCAGTTGGATAATATTCTCTTGTTTTACACACTAGAAAACTGTGATTCAGGAATGGTAAATCATCAGTCCCAGTTAAATGCTTGTGAATAGTAGTGAAATACAGACCTACGTGATTCCAAACCCTTGTTTTTCCCACTAAGTCTTACAACTCTCTTATCTGAAATGATTAGGAAAGTCTTAAGAGAAAGGTGGACTTAAAACAATATTTTTGATTAGTAAATATGCAAGAAATAATTACTGTGTTCCTACTGTATGTCAGACACTATTTTAGACAATGACAATGTAGCTAGCGGTACACAAAAACACGCCAGACCTTGGTTTCATGGATCTTGCATCCCAGTTTTCAAGGTGGCCAGGCGGGTGAAAGGTCTTTGCACAAAGACTTGAATGTTACAGAGGGATATGGGGATGCAGATAGTCCTGAAATGCTGCTTTTCTTTGTTAATGACTACTGGTCTCCTAATCTCTCCCTCTACATCTACTTAGTCTAGACCGCCTTCACCTCTAAATTCTTGTTCTTTCTTCCAGTCTATCTTTTGAACTCCTCCTGCATTTTTAATTTTCCTTTAATATGCACAGATTTTTCATATTTTGCATCTTGCTGACTATCCCTTCAAATATACTGAGGAATGCCTGTTGTTTGATATCACTCATATTAATGTAGCTTGATTTTCTACTTTTCCTTATCGCAAACTCTACACAAGTTAGAAACCTCTTTATCTTATCAATCTTTCCAGTCTATGCTTATTTTTACCTTAGTTTTAATGTCTTGCACATCTTATCAAGCCTGTGCTTACTCAAACCTTTCCAACTCAGCATGTTCCAGATGTCTGTTCCATCCTGACTGCCTCTTCAACCCAAAATCTTCCTAGTGATTTTTACATTTATTCTCTATATTCTAATAACATGTTATTAATTTCTGTCATCTCTATTTCTCCTCCTTGCATACTTCTTAACTGGATTATAAACTTTCTCAGGGAATGATCTGAGTCTTGTGCAACAATTCTATCAGCAAACTATAGGTACTTTCATGTTTATACTATGATAATTAACAAAAATGAAATTACTGAAACTATTTCATTCTATTAAATTCTTTTTCCATGCTCAAAGATGTCAATAAGTATTATTTACTTAAATTCTATTTTAAGTTTTATTTCATCATTAGGAATAAGTGTTTTGGCATAGTTCCTTTTTTGTAGCTATGTCCCTCATATATACATGTATACATATGTATGAGGGACATAGCTAACATATATATATATATATGTTTTATATATATATGTTTTATATATATATGGTTCACATGCGTGAGAAAGTTAAGTCCTTGAAACCAGAATCTTCTTGTGAGATCAGGGCCAGCACGCTGCCTAGCTAGGGTCACAGCTCTGTTAGTTCAGTGGCAGAGACAGAGAATTCCCGATTTATGATGCCATTCCCGGCCAACACTCCAAATATGTTCTAGGAGATTTGTGTAGGACCGAGAGCCTCTACTCAACTTTGGTGGCTTAGGTGTTTAGCCAGAGGGAGAGTTACACTTCAAGTTTCTTGTCTCACAAAGCCAAAGAATTAGCTTCACAGACAAGGAGAGCGAAAAGCAGGAGAGTTTATTGAGATAGAAATGTGTAAAGTGGGACAGTAGAGCTCTCAGAGTTTGGCGGGGAGGAGAATCCCAAGAGAGGGTGCCCAAGAAGTGAAGTAGTCTGAGGTCTTTAACCATTTTTTCCAGAGTGTTTCACTATCTCCATGTTAATTGAGTGTGCAGAAAGCAGCATTCCCATTTGCTGTACCTGTGATGCCCTAATCCTCTGCATATCCTCATTCTAGTCTATCCTGCTTTTCCTTCTTTCCACCCCTTAAGGTCACAAGGAGGTCAGAATGGAGGTTTCCAGGGGACCTTCTGTTCTAGCTGTACTGTACTGTCTAATTTCAGCTAACTGACTAGCCTACTTGCTCACTGTAGCTTCATAATCTTTGGGGAATGTTAAGGCAGGTGATGAAAACCAAACAAAAATACCAAGGACCAGAGAAACAAGTTAATAATAACAAAATAAGCTTCGACTTTTCTTTGCAGAAGATAATTTTAATACTCCTAAAGAATGGAAGCTGTTGTGATTGAGCTGATAATAGCAGGATCTTATTGTTCAAGTGAATATTCTCAATGTGCTTTTGGACTGTGACATAAAAGTCTTGAATACTTTTTATATTTTTTATAGGGAAAGAAAGCTCAAGGTAGAATTAATTAGGGTTGCACAGCATATATTTCAATACACAATATTTTAGTATGAAAGAATGCAA